AATTAACAAGGTTAACAGAAGCACATGTGCAAGCAAATATAGAACAATTTTTAGCAGAATCAATGGATAGGCATATATTCTTAAAAAAAATGAATGAATGTTGGCAATCACATTGCAGACAAATGATTATGATTAGAAGTATTTTTCTATATTTGGATAGAACATATGTATTACAAAATCCAAGTATTTTATCCATTTGGTATGTTTAAAAAATTTAAAAATGTTATTAAAAATTATTAAAAATAAATTTTTTTATATTTTTTTGCTCAGTATTTGTATTATTTTAGGGATATGGGTTTACATTTGTTTAGAGTGTATATTGTTTTGAATAACTTAGTTCAAACACGTACAGTAGAAGGATTACTTATGCTCATAGAAAAAGAACGTCAAGGTGATACAGTGGATAGAACACTTCTTAAATCATTGTTAAGAATGTTATCAGATCTACAAATCTACCAAGATGCCTTTGAAACTAAGTATGATTTTATATATATATATATATATATATATATATATATATATTATATATATTTTATTAAATCTTTATTTCTATAGATTTTTGGTTGCTACTGAAAGACTATATGCTGCTGAAGGACAACGACTGATGAATGAACATGATGTTCCTGAGTACTTAGCACATGTGGACAAACGACTTCAAGAGGAAAATGAACGTTTGTTACATTATTTGGATGCATCTACAAAGTGAATATTTATTTTATATCATATCAATATTTAACTAATTATACTAACTATAGTATTATTATTAATTAATATTAATTTAATATTATAGATGGTCCTTAATACACACAGTAGAAAAGCAATTATTGTCTGAACATATTACCAGCATTTTACAAAAAGGATTAAGTGGTTTACTGGATGAAAATAGAATTAATGATTTATCTTTACTTTATAATTTATATAGTCGAGTGAAGAATGGCCTTGTAGAACTTTGTCTAAACTTTAATTCTTATATTAAGGTATTTTATAAATTGTTCAAATATTTACAATTTTAATTATATGTAGATACATTCTTTATTTTTGTTCATAGAAAAAAGGTAAAACCATAGTTATAGATCCTGAAAAAGATAAAACTATGGTTCAAGAACTCTTAGATTTCAAAGATAAAATGGATAATATAGTTAACACATGTTTTCATAAAAATGAGAAATTTGCAAACAGTTTAAAGGAAGCTTTTGAAGCTTTTATTAATCAACGTGCGAATAAACCTGCTGAATTAATAGGTAATATTGTATTTTTATTTAAATAATAATATTTATTATCCATATTTAATTTATTTTTTTTAATTATAGCGAAATTTGTTGATTGTAAACTTAGAGCGGGTAATAAAGAAGCAACAGAAGAAGAATTGGAAAGATTATTAGATAAAATCATGGTATTGTTTAGATTTATACATGGAAAAGATGTATTTGAAGCATTTTATAAAAAAGATTTAGCTAAACGTTTATTAGTTGGTAAATCAGCTTCTGTTGATGCTGAAAAATCCATGTTATCCAAATTAAAACAAGAATGTGGAGGAGGTTTTACTAGTAAATTGGAAGGAATGTTCAAAGATATGGAACTTAGTAAAGATATTAATATTGCTTTTAAACAGGTAATAATAAAACTTATGTTTAATTACTTATTTTTAGTTTATTTTTAATTTAATATATTTACAAATTATTTTTTATATATTATTTATTTAATTATATGATTTAAACTTTTTTTATATTTTAAATTAGTATGCAGGAAATTTGCAAAGTGAATTGTCTGCTAGTAATTTGGATTTAACTGTTTCAATACTTACAATGGGTTATTGGCCAACATATCCTGTAATGGAAGTAACATTACCACCAGAAATGGTTCAATATCAAGATGTATTTAATAAATTTTATTTGGGGAAACATAGTGGTAGAAAATTGCAATGGCAACCTACTTTAGGACATTGTGTATTAAAAGCTTGGTTTAATCAGGTATTATTGATATATGAATGTATTAAATTTATATTAAATAGTTAATTATATATTCCATAGAAATATTTCACTTAAATGTCAAAATAGGGCAACAAAGAACTTCAAGTTTCATTGTTTCAAGCATTGGTGTTAATTTTGTTTAATGATGCTGACAATTTGTCCTTGGAAGATATAAAAACAGCAACAAATATAGAAGATGGTGAACTTAGAAGAACTTTACAATCTTTAGCTTGTGGAAAAGCCAGAGTGTTACAAAAAAATCCAAGAGGAAGGGATGTTGCAGATAATGATAGATTTGTTTTTAATGCAGACTTTACAAATAAATTATTCAGAATTAAGATAAATCAAATTCAAATGAAAGAAACGGTATGATCTTTTAAATAATTATTTTCTTTTACATAATACATAATTAAAAAATATATTATTTATTTTAGAATGAGGAACAAAAAGCTACAGAGGAAAGAGTATATCAAGATAGACAATATCAGATAGATGCAGCTATTGTTAGAATTATGAAAATGAGAAAAACACTTTCGCACAATTTGTTGATTAGTGAATTATATAATCAACTTAAGTTTCCTGTAAAGGTATTGCGATTTATAAAATAATATATATTATGAAGATTTTAAATATATTGAATTATATAATTATGAAAAAAATTTTTCAGCCTGCAGATTTGAAAAAGAGAATTGAATCTCTCATAGATAGGGATTATATGGAACGAGATAAAGATAATGCAAATGAGTACAATTATGTTGCATAACCTGAACCAAATACCAAAGTCATTTTAGACTGGGTGGTCACTGTGTTTTTTAGCAAAAAAACCAATTTGTTTTGGTGTTTGCTCATTGTGAATGTGACATGTTGAACAAGAAAAAAATGAAAAACTTATAACTGATTGAATGTTAGCATAATGTTGCATTATGTGATCAGTTAATAAAAAAAATAGAGTGGACTCTATAAATTCGGTTTTTATAGTGCGTAATGAATACTGGACAATTGAGGTCATTTTTAAGATAGTGCTTTACTGTTATTATTCTTCTGTTTATGGATTTCGCTAAAAAAGGACCATGTGCAAAATATCTAATACAGCATTTAAATATATCAACAGTTTTTTATGCAGAACAGTTTTTCACAGCATACAGGTCTAAGAAGATAACATAGAATATTCTAAGAATTAAAAAAAATGCAATGACCGAAAGTGGGAATGCGTTATTTATAATAAATAGAAGAGATAGTGTATTATGGATATTGAACTGGTCATTGAAATAATTTTAAACAAATAGAAAATATATTATGAAATAATAATTCATGTACTGAATATGTTCATTACATGAAAAAGTACTTCATTACAGAATTTTAAGAATACCGAAAAGGAAAAACTACGGTACGTTCATATTGAAAAAAATGAACAAAAAAATATTTGAAGAAATCTTATTAAGAACATAATATTATGAATTTCTATAACAAATTTTTGTATATTACCTTATAATACAGAGTTTATAAATCCAATAGGAAAACACATACAATTTGTACAAATAATGTCCATTTTTGTCAAAAAAAAAAAAATAGTAAAGCAATACATATGTAAATTTATAATAAATTTAATAATAATATGAAACATCTTTCAAATAGTGCATGTTTTATTTATAACCTGCATATTATTAAAATTAATATTTTTTAATGTATTTTTCTCTATTAACAAATGTATCTTTTTTATGAAGATAAAAAAAACAAATAGTAAAAGTGTTTCATATTATTATAAAATAAGTACTCTGCCATTAGCTTTACAATTTTCACTACATATGATAAATTATAATAACTATTTAAATATAAATACAAATAATATCATATTTACTTGATACTTACTTTTTGCATATCTTTTGAGTGAATTATAGCTTGATAAAGTACAAGTTTATAAAACTATATGAATCTTCTATCTTTATATATAAATTAAAAATCAATGTGATATAAATTATTCTTGACTAATTATCAATTTAATTTATATAGATCACGATATAAATTAAAAATTTTAATAATTCCGTTTAGAATAAATTTTTTCAATTTGTAGATTACAAAAATATTATGTTTTACAGTATTTTCATCAACTATGATTTATTAATATTTCAGGAAATTTTAAAATTATGCTTTTAATAACATATTTCTTTATTTTTTATTATGTAAAATTATTATTCTTTTTTTTAGTAACTCTGTATTACAAGGTTATTTCACAAATGAATGTTAAAGAAATAATTTATTATTCATGTAAATGCTGTGCAAAATAAAATTTCTAGCAAGATAAAGTATAAATAAAATTACTGTAACTATATGCTAAATTGAATACAGAATTTCTTATTATCTTATTTACTGTAATTTAAAGATGAAAACAAAAAATTATTGTAAAAAGAAGGTCCAGTGCTTTTTTGTGAATACAAATATCTAATTATATTCCATAAACTACATAAGAAAACATTTTCAAAAAAAAAAACAGAATTTCATAACGTAGAAATCGATTGTTATTGAAAAAAAGAAAATATATATATAAATAAATATATTATTAATACAATCAATAAAATTTGAATCATCCAGTGGCTTGTTCAGTCATTTTATGTGTAATTATGAAATAGCTTATTAATGAAATTTTGTATAAACAAAAAAAATGTTGATGAACCATTAGGTAATTTTAATGCAAATCCTATGAAAAGTTTTAATATATATTAAAACTATCTCCCAAACGCAGTACATGGTAAATTCATATAAAGAAATCATTTTAAAATAGATTCAAAAAGATAATATTTTCATGTTCTTTCAGAATTTTGTTATTTTATTTGATTTCTTTTAGAAATAATGCAAGAAAATTATAAATGATTTAAATTATATAAATTGAATTTCATAAATTACCTTATACTGCGTTTCCTCTGTATTACATTCAAAAACTTATTTTTGTGTAATCGTTCGTAGATTTAACAGATTGTAAATAGGATAAGATTCCATACTTGTAATAAAATAAAAGAAAAAACTCAAATTATGTTTTGTGCATGATATTTACATTTTATTTACAAGATAAAATATTAAATTATAAAATTATTTATGTTTTTACAATTACGATTGAAATAATGATGTATTTCTACAATACTTATTTTAAACGTACTATAAATTATCATGAATATTTTGTTAAAAAAAATTATATACAAGAAAATTTTATAAGTATTTCATATCTTTAAAAAGATATTTTTCTAAATATATAATCTTTTTTAGTGGTTTTCTTATCCTCTTAATTTTTCTACGTGTTTGGTTTTTATATCAATTTCGTAAAGCAAAGATTTTGCAAGATTATTAGCATTAGCCTGTTTATTTAAAAAATCAGATACTAATTTAGAAGGAAGCTTTCCACCTCCGTGAGCTAAGCATTCTTTCCAATATCGATTGCCTGCCATTCGATTGAAAGGATCTGCTTGAAAATATGTTTGCCATATCCATGAAGCAATTGCTCGAGATACTAAATAAGAATAATATTTCGCACCATATCCAACTAAATGAGAAAATCTTAATTGCCATGCCTAAAAATATAATTTTTTATTTATAATTTTTATGATTTATAATAAATTATTATAAAAACTAAAAAAAAAAAATTACATACTGTATTTTCAATATAAGGAAGTTCATAGTATTTTCCTTGTATTTCTTTCAAAATTTCAGTTGATGATTTTTCTAATTGTCCACTGTGATAAACTTGATCTAACATGCTATAATATATTTGATTTTGTAATTCAGAAGCACAAAATATATTCTTTGAAGCATATAATTTATCTAATAATGTTATTGGTATTTGTTCAAAAGTTTGAAAATGTCTAGCAAATGTGGATACAACCTAATAATATATATTAATATATATAAATTATAAATGATAAAATTTATTTAAAAATTATTTAAAAAGTTGATTATAATTTTTAATAACTTACTCTTGGATCACTTGCAAAATATTCCATTAAAATACTTGGAACTTCTGCAAAATCTGTACTGCATCTAGTTCCTGTTACATGCTGATACTTTGTTCTACCTAGCATAGAATGTAATGCATGACCCATTTCATGGAATAAATTTTCTACAGAAGAAGGACTAAGTAGACATGGTTTGGACCATGTTGGAACTGGTAATGATAACATTAATACTACTATAGGATTCTAAAATAAACATTTGAATAATGATAATGATGAAAAATATTATTAAATTAAAATGTATATATACAAGGTATTCTTTATTTTATTAAATTAATAAAAAAAGTGATTTAAATAAAAATTAATCAACATTCGGTTAGCAATTATAAAAGTTATTAAAACACATTTACTAGAAAATTAAAGTTATCTTATCAAAATACTAACTAATCTTTTTATTTAAAATATTTATCGGTTTATTCTAAAAAATTATGTGATTGTTATAATGAATACCTTGTATATGTATATATATTCTATATAAATTTTCTATTTTTTCTTCATTTAAATTATACCTGATAAGATCCATCAGATAATTGCCTTCCACCTCTAATAGTAAAATGACAATCTTGATTAGGTTTTCCTTCTCTTTCAAAAAAATCACAATATATGTAACCCAAAACTGCTTCGTTTTCATCTATTACAACAATTTTATGTACATTATTTGCCCAAACTTCACCAGATAAAACTGGTACATATTCCAATCGGATACCATATAATGCTTGTATCAATATATTAATTCCATCCATACAAGCACCAAGTGAAAAATATGGTGCAAATTCAGTAATAGATATATTTAACCAATTTCTTTTTGCTTTTGCTGTAAAATAAGCTGTATCCCATGGCATTATTTTCTAAATATAAAAAATAAAAAATAATGTAAATTATTAATTTAATAACATTTTTTTAAATAAAAATATTATAAATATCTAATAAATATCTAAACCTGTTTTATAGATGATTCAATATTTTTCATTTTTTGCATTTCATTAAAATCTTGTTTTGTTTTAGACTTTAAATTATCATTTAAGATATTAAGAAATTCATATATTACTTCAGGTGTTTCCATAGTACTTCCTTTAACAGCTCTATAAATTGTTTACTTTTAATACATATAAGTATACAAATAATACATATTAATTTTAGTTTTATCAATAAATATTTATGATCTACCGATGAGCATAAGATGAAAATCCACATAGTTTAGCCAAAGTATATCTAGAATTTAAAAGTTCTTGTAGGAGATATTCTTGTTCTTCATCAGGATATAGAAATATGCGATATGCTGTTTCTCTAAGTAAGCAATTAGGAGAATCTACATAAAGTCCTTGAACATATATTTTATTATCCTTTTCTGTGAAACTAAAATATTTTTTAAAAAACATTTTAAATCTCATATTTTAAATAAAAAAATTATTTACTTACGAAACTTACTACTGTCTTATATTAGGTGGAACAATACTGGAATCTACTGCTCTTGTATTATTAGCACCTGTCATAAATTTTTGACCTATCTATTTGGAAAAAAAAATTATATAATAGATGTTTCTAAATATATATATATATATATATATATATAGTATAAACATTTATATAAATAAATAAAATATACTAATCTATATACTTGTAATATATAATAATTCAACTGTACAACTTTTTCTCTTATAGATTCTGGTAAATGAATAGCACATAATTCAAAATCAGATAAGAATAATGTTGCAACATGTTTATCTACTATAGATGTTTTCTGAATATCTTCATTATATACTATGTGTTTCAATGCATTATATAGTTCACGATGAGTATTTAATCTAAAAAAATTTGTAAATAATTTTTATATTTTTTTGAAAAAATTATAAATATTCATTAATTTTTTTAATATTTTTAAAAGTAATTACTTCTCTACAATACCACTAACAGAGAGACAAGTCTTCTCTGCAGCTGTAACAAACTGTTTTTGTGGATGTGCAATTCTAATAAACTCTGCTAAATCTGCAACTTTACATAATGTATCAGACATATCATCAAAAATTTCTACCATTTTTCGTTTTCTATTTTGACTCATAGCTTCTGTTATAAGTGCATCTGTTTGAGATATTGCTTGATCTCTTAAAACATTAAATCCTTCTGATGTTTTTAATTCAGATATTCCAAATAATCCCTATAAAAAATATCAAAATTTTAAAACTTAATATATTTTATACAAATAATTATGAATATTTTAAAAAATATATATTTTTTAAAATAATATAAAAAATATAATAATGTAAAAAATATACTCACAGTTTCTTTTCTCAAAAAATCAAATCCATATTTTTCTTTATTAATAGAATTGAATGCTGTTGCAAGAGATGACCATGTATTTACATTCCTATATCTTTTGCAATTTCTTGGAAATTGTTTCTTCAACATTTGGATCATTTTTTATAATAATATACTATAATATATTAAAAGTTTTCAAGAATAGAAATTATTATATTCATTCAAAATATTATAAGTCAAAACACAATTTAAAGAATTTTTATGCAAACAACATTTGAATATTAATTTAAATTATAATGATAAAACATGTAATTAAAATTTTTTTAAGTAATAGAATAATTCATATATAAAAAAATAAATAAAATAAATTATTAACAAATTATTTAATCTTTATTTTCACATATAGTCATATGATTATAATATAGTCATTTGATTATAATATTTATTTTTTATGAAATGACAAAAATATTTTTAAAAGTAAAATAAGTTTGTTATTGTACATTTATTAGAAAACGATATGCTAGAGGTTATAAATATGTATAATGATTTATATAGTGTATTTAACAGAAAGTAACAATCTTAAGATATGTGATTCTATTTTTGACTGAATGATGGCATTACTGTGATTTTAACTAAGTCTGTAGTTACAAGTTAAAAATGGTGTTACAAGTAAAAATATAAATTTTCATTAGAATTATATGAAAATAAAATTGAAAGTGAAAATGAAGAAAAAACAGAACAGATATGTTTTAATAAAAAAAATATTCAATTTATAAAATAAATTTCTTTTGATTGACAAAAGTTCAAAAATTTTTCATTTGAGTATGATTTGTTTATTGAAATAATTTGTTAGATAATTCAATTTTCTATTAAATTTTGAGGTTACTTACGAATATAAATGGTGAGAAAATTAATTTTTTCAATCATATGTAGTTATTTGAACAAAACGAATATAAGAGGTTTCTATATGTCAAGTAGAAGGGGTATATGTTCTTGTGTACTATCAAGGATATGTCTTATATTGTTCATATATTACTTGATATCACTTAATTTATTCCGTAATAATTTTTTTAATTTATATAATTAGACATATTTTTACTTTTGATTTTATTGAATTGTGTAATTTTTTCAATTATGTTATTTTTATTATATTTATTATTTTTTATATTTATTATTGTTATTTTTATGTTTAATAATCTTTTATAATATTTGATTTTTTTTTTATATAAATTATTTTATTCTTAAATTAAATTACAATATCATATAAAATTAATATATATATATATATATATTATCCAATTCAGGATAATATATTTATTTTTATTTTTTACATTTATTTGTTGAAATCTATTTTTTTATTTTTCATTTATATTTATCTTATCTAAAATTAATCCCGTTTTGTTTTCTTGCAGTCTAATTCTATGATATGTAAAGATTTATTCACTGCTGTTAAACAATTAGCAGACAGTGAGATTGAATTAATAAAGACTATAGAAAATTCAAAGAAAACAAATAATATTAAAAATATTAAAAATACTATGTCTACGACAGATAAGAAAAGTGTCAAAAAGTCTACAAAAGTATTCAATGTAAATATAAAAATCATAAAAGAATAATTTAATGATAATTGTAAATTTTTTATTTTTTTCATTTGATTAGGTTCGTCCATCTGCTGCTTTAATAGCAGCTAAACGTGAAGCAGCTCAACAACGTATATTACAAGGAAAAAAATCTAATGATGTTTTTATACATGATATATATCAAAAAGCTATTGATGCATATAATATAAAAAGAATGGAAACTGGTATTGTATTTGATCATTCTATGGCAGAACATAAATGTCTTTGGGATTCAAATTATCCAGAATGTCCTGCTAGATTGATAAGAGTTTTACAGAGATGTGAAGAATTGGGCTTAATAAATAGATGCAAGTTGATAACACCGAGATTAGCTTCAGAGAACGAAATACTTATGAAACATAGTCAAGAACAAATAGATATTTTAAAGAATACTGATGGGTGTACAGATACAAATAATTTAGAATTATTATCATCAAAATATGATGCCATTTATATACATCCTGTATGTAAATAATTATTAATTATGAAGTAAAATAATATATTCATTTTAAATATTTATATTTAAATCATTTAAAATTGCTCTAGTCTACTTATCGATTGTCTCTATTAGCCGTGGGTTCAACAATAAATTTAGTAGAAAGCATTTGCAAAGGAGAAATCCAAAATGGAATGGCTATTATAAGGTAATAATATATAAGGTAAAATAATATTATAAGGTAATACATATATATATAATTCATATATAATATTTCAAAAACTAACTAAAAAACTTTTTTAGGTATGTTTGGTAAATAATTTTAAATTAAAGATATATACTATATACTATGATTCTTTAAATTTTTTTGATTCATTTAAAAAATAAAATTTTATATGTTAAACATTATATTAATATTTTAAATATTTCTGGATAATTATCTTTGAATATTATGTATATTATATATATATTTAATATTATGTTATAAAAGGATAAATTTTTATTTTAATTTTTAGAATAAATTAAAAAAAAAAAGGTTATAAATATATATTGTAAAAATTTTATACAATACTATAAAAAAATGTTGTTTTCTTAAATAATAATAAATGAACTAAGATCCATAACATATATATGAATATATATTTTTTTATTTATAGTGATTTAACATGCTGGTAAAATTTTTCAATTTTTTCTAGAATCCAGAAAAAAAAAATATTAATGTTACTTTTTCCATTTTCTATAATATACTCTAGACCACCAGGACATCATGCAATGAAATCAGAATATTGTGGATATTGTTTTTTCAATAATGTTGCAATAGCTGCAGAAAAAGTTTTATGTAATAATTTAGCTAATAAAATTTTAATTGTTGATTGGGATGTACATCATGGGCAAGCTACTCAACAAATGTTTTATGATAATCCACGGTATATAAATATTTTTGTAAACATTCTATTATCTATAGATATTATAATAGTATAAATTTAACTAATAATTAATTATAAATTTTATATATAGAGTAATTTATTTCTCTATTCATCGTTACGAAAATGGTGAATTTTGGCCAAATCTTAGAGAATCTAATTTTCATTTTGTTGGAGATGACTTAGGAGAGGGATATAATTTTAATGTGCCACTTAATAAAATTGGTATGACTAATGCTGATTATTTAGCTATATTTCAACAAGTTTTATTGCCAATGGCCTATGAGGTAAAAATATTACATTATTATAATTTATTTTAAGTAATATAATTTAAATAATGTAATTGAAAAAAATATTAATATAAATTCTGAATATGATTTTTGAAAAAAGATCATTTTTAATTATTCCAGTTTCAACCAGACCTTATAATAATATCAGCTGGTTATGATGCAGCTTTGGGTTGTCCAGAGGTAAAATAATAAATATTATTTACTTTTTCTTATTTGATTTTATCTTAGTTTAATTCATATCTTATCATTGTCTGGATTTAATTTGATGAAAAATAAAAATGAAAAAGTTTAAATATATACATATCTCAGAACAAATGATATGAGAGAATAAAAAATAATTTTACATGCAAAAATAAATAAATAAAAAAATATATATATTTTTTTTATTTTTATTTTCGAGTTTGAGAATTTATCATTTAATTAATTTTCAATTAGATAATTAGAAAAAAACATCATAAATATAAAAATGAAAAAAAAATTAGTTTTAAAGGAAATAAAAATTAAAAATTCATTTAATATTAATATTTGGTTACTTTTTAACTGTATATATTATATTCAATCTCTATTTTTCAAGAATGAAAAAATTAAATGTATATAACATGTAAAATAAACTTTTATCAATAATTTTAGAAATTAGCCAAATTCATTTGTAAAATTGTAAACTGATACACTTTGATTTATTTGAGTTGTTTGTTAATTTTGATTTACTCATTTGATTTCACTTAAAAAATTTTCAAATTTGGTTTTCTCAAAAACTAAATAAAAAATAAAAAAATGTTATCCTTTCCCTTTGATTTACAAAAAATCGTATATTAATAAAGTATATATATCTATGAAGAATTTTAATATTTTTGTTTTATTATTATTATATTTTTGTTTTATTAATATTTAGGGTGAAATGTTGATAACACCTGCATGTTATGCTCATTTACTATCATCATTATTATGTTTGGCTTCTGGAAAAGTTGCTGTTATATTAGAGGTATAATATATTTTCATTCTATTATTGAATTTTATTGTATATCTATAATTTTTCAAATATATTATTTTCATTATATTTTTCATTGCAGGGTGGTTATTGTTTAAAGTCATTAAGTGAAAGTGCAGCATTAACATTGCGTACTTTGTTAAACGATCCATGTCCTATGTTAGAAACTCTTACATTACCTTCAATAAGGTAAAAAATACAATACAAATACAATACAATACAATAAAAATACAAATATGTATAATTATATAATTATATAATATTTAATCATGATTATATATATTTAATATAATTTTAGTATACGTGATACAATTTTGAATACAATTTATACACATAAACCATATTGGAAATGTTATCAATATCAAGATACATATAGTATTAATAGTACACCAAATAATAAAGAAGAAAATGCTAATCAATATTTACCTATAGTTATATTCAAGTAAGAAATTAAATTATTTTTAACAAAATTTATTATTATTATTTTTAATTATATAAATATTTATCTACTTCAGAGAAACTGATGTTAGACCAAAAGTATATGAAACTCAAAATTGTTATCCAATTCAAACTCAAGAAATTATTGAAATAATAGAAAAGCAACTGAATACATTAATACAATGTAAGTATTTCTAATTTGATAATTTAACAATTAATTATATACATATAATGTATATATATAATAATATAAAGTTTATAAATGTAAACTTTCTTTTAGTTACTAATTTGTCTAAAGCACCTAATAAAGTATGTATTGTTTATGATGATAGAATGCTAAAACATTACGATATATCTGATGATAATCATCCAGAAAAACCACATCGTATTAATATTATTTATAAAAAATTTCAAGAATATAATCTACTTGATCGAAGTTATGTGCAACAGGTATGTAAATTTATTTTTAAAAAAGAACTTTTGCACTGTTATGCTGATTGCAATGAATGCTAACATCAACATTTTTATTTGAAGTATTAATTTTCATTATCGATTATTTTGAAGGGACGAAGTGCAACAAAAGAAGAGTTATTATTAGTCCATACAAAAGAATATATTGATAAAATAAAAAATATAAAAAATTTAAAATCGAAAGAGTTAAAGAAGCAGGCAGAAACATATAATTCAGTTTATTTACATCCTGAAACATGGTCAAGTGCTTGTGTATCAACTGGATCATTATTACAAGTAATTGATAGTGTTTTGAATGGAGAAAGTCAATCTGGTATTGCTATCATTAGACCTCCAGGACATCATGCTACAGAGGATGCAGCATGTGGTTTTTGTATTTTTAACAATGTAGCTATAGCAGCTAAATATGCCATAGAATTTCATCATGTAAAAAGGTATTACAATTGACTTATTTTATATATTGACTATATTGACTATCGATATAAATAATAATATAATTTTCAGAGTATTGATAGTAGATTGGGATGTACATTATGGTAATGGAACTCAATCTATTTTTGAAGAAGACTCTAAAGTTTTATATATATCTGTTCATCGTTATGATAATGGTAGTTTTTTTCCAAATTCTAAACGAGCAAATTACTCTTATGTTGGTTCTGAATCAGGAGAAGGTTTCACTGTTAATATACCATGGAATAAGGTTAATCTTAGAAGATATTCTGCGAAGTTAATATTAATAAAGTAGAATTATTGTAATTATTTGTATTATTTGTATTATTTGTATTATTTAGAAAGGAATGGGTGATGCAGAATATATAGCAGCGTTTCA